GCTGCGCATCCGTCGATTTACTTTTGAATAGTTTTCGGCCGTTTGATTTTATTGCCCGTATGGCTCGCGTACGCTCATTGTGCCGCAACATCGAGCTGCTGGAATTGCGCCCCTTCTATTGATAAAGATCCTGTTGCTGCTATCATAAAGCCCTCGGTTACAGCTATTCAGGCACCCTTTGCGGGCCGCGGTGGAGGCTCGCGTCGTATCCTGCGGGTCCACTGGCTGACGTCGATGTGTTGCGTACCTTGTGCTTCTCTGTGTCGGGTTCTGCGGGGGTGAAATATGGATCTCTGTGACATTTGAATTCCGTACTAATGTAGCGAAACTAATTTTACGTGGGTTACGTATCGACGGGGTTTGAACGTTTTATTGGATATTAGCGTATGAGTAGATTGCGGGTTTCTGTGGAGAATCAAACTTTTCTGAAGGAATTTAAGAGAATTGTTAAACGCCATGGCGACATTTTGGAATCTTCCGAAGTTTTGTCTATTTTACATGACGCACAATTATATTTGTCCAAAAATACATCGGAACTGGGTGATGTTTAGTTTATTGTCTGGAAAGGAACCGCCTTTCGAGTTCCCATAATTATTTCATGTTTTCTTATTTACCTGTTTAACAGTTTTTTAATTTTATCTTATCATAACTTCTTCGACACTTCAAATTAAAGTACTTTAAATCATTTAGATAGTATTAATGCCATATTTTATTCTACTTCAACAGACGTCTGTAGCCAAAGTATCATCCAGTCAACAGGTTATAAATCTCTCATGACCCGTGAAACAAGCTCTGCAGTTTTAAATACGTAAAGTGCTTAATTAAGACTGCAACAATATTGCGATTTAACATTTAACCTCATTATACCACATAAATACTTGTTCAACCTCTTTTTCATCCCGCCTGCTACCTGTTCCTCTCGGTCTCCCCTTTTCTTCGGGCTCTTCCCCGTTTTTTCTTCCGCTAGCCTACACGGTTTTTTCCTTCTACGTTTTTTGTTCGGTTTCTTCTCGCTGGGGACGAGTAGTCGGGGTTATAGCAAAAGCCGGGCAATACCGCCTATGTGTCGATCGATATCAGGAATATACGCGAAATGCTTTAACGTGGGTTAACCGCAGATGAAAGCCGGACTGGCTGGACTACCCGGCCGTCCGTACTGAAATCACGTATTGGCTCTTCGATAGGAGGCTCCCAGGCTCGTACCTTCGGAAAGGTGTACCCATCCCCTTCAAATTCTAATTAGTGGCCCGGAGTGCTTTTAGTAGAGCGAACTGTGACGTAGGAAACGGGAAGCTGCATTCATCTGTCCCTTAACTTGTCACAAAGCCGAGCCCTCTGGGAACTTGTTCTAGTAAAATGAATCTTTGATTGATGCTGGGAGTTCAAGGAAAGGGTAGGAAACGAATTATTATTGTTATGAGTAGTATTTGAGTAGCATAAGAGTAGTAGTATCTTTGTGCACTAAGCGGAAATTTAAAAGTGTGAAATTATATAGAATATACGTAAATTTATTTGTATAGGAATATATAGAAAAAATATATAAAGTATTTAAAGTGTAACGATTTTTGTAATATCTGTTGGGAAAAACTATTTTATATTGCATAATAATTCTATTTATCTAATTGTTGTGTCGTGACCTAAACAGGTTTAGATATAGTGAATATTTTTTGTATTATTCATTTTATGAGGACGTGAAATAATAAGAATGGATTTATGTTGACAGGGAATGGTTTCTTATTCATTACAGTTATGTGCGTTTTCAATAAGTTATAATTACATTTTTAGAATTAGAACATGTTCATACTCGTAACCAAAGTTACTTACATTTCTACCTAATAATATATTCTAAAACTTGCAGAAAGATACGCAATATAATTATGAAATTAAGATAAAACTATAAAGTCCTTGTATTTATGAATTCAAGGAAAAAGAATGTCGTTATAAATATTATTCTTTTCGTTATTGTCTTTATTGTTACATTTATTATTACATTCTTTAAGGGATTACATAATAGTGCGTAAATGTGCAAAAAGTACTTTTAATGTCTGTGTAAAATTTAAAGTTCATAAATGTTGATTTGTATTTATATATAATACTAATTTCACTGCTATATTCATCACATACGTTAATAAATAAGTAAATTTCTTTCAAAAACAATTATTTAATTAACACTAACCGTACCGGTACTTTTCCTGCCGTAACCAATCAAACAACTGGCCATAAAGTAAAGATAAACAAACTAGATGATAAATGTTTTGTAGTGAAAACAGTGTAGTGGTTCGGACCCTTTTCAAAATGCCGCGGAAGAACGCCTCGTGCGTTTTATTTTCAGTCGTTGTAATTCACTTTATGTGAACGTTCGAGGCGTCGAGGTTCTTTACGTGTACCGTGTAACCGTTTAAATATATTTACATTTATTCTGTTAACTTTGCGTTTAATTAATCGCCTACTACAACAGAAACAAAAAGAAAGGCAAAAATTGAAAAACTGAGTAACCGGATAATGTAGGAATTGATTTTAAAATTACATATACGAAGAAACCTAGAATTTTAAATTCGTTCATTTGACCGGTTCCCAGTACGGTTGGTGTTAAATAAATAAATTTATAGAGGTAAATTGAATTTGAAGGGATTCAATGTAGGTACATGTAAGTGACGAAAATTTTTGTTTACAT